TTATGAGCAAGTATCTCCTGAGTTAGGAAACAAAGAACTTTTACTGTAGCCTTTATTTGTAAATGCCTATTTAGTGTATAAATACAGTGTGTATCCATTTCTTTTATTTATGTACTTAACAAGTAGTTTTGAAATTTGAGGAGGAAGTATGCATATAATTCTTAATTAATTCAGTTCAGTGCATAGAGTTAAAATATCGTTGTRAAGTTGAAGTATTTCTCCGATGCCCTTTAGAAAGGTGACATGGAACATATCATAGTACAATTCTTCCTGTCTGTATGTAGCACTTCCTTTATTTTAATATACTGCTGTTGCAGGATTTCTTTCATGCGTGGGTGAACTGTTTCTGTGACATGCAAAGAATATGGACTCCACGGTGACACTCTTTACTGTGAAATTGAATGAGACATTTAGAAATCTCTTAATTCCTTGGGTGTTGTATTTTCTGTAAACAGGGGTACTTACTCTACAAAGCTCCGTCTTTTAAAAGTATACACTGATTTGTTTAGTAGAGGTGGATTGGGTTTGCATGGCAAGGTTTTGGTAGCAGGGAGATACAGGGGTGGCTTCTGTGAGAAGGTTCCTGTGATGGTGTTAGCGTCTCTGGGATGATGTATTTTAAGAGGGGGGGGAAAAAGTTACTGGACAGGAGCTGTTACTGTACTGTACTGCAGCTGGAGTGATGAATGAACTTGAGAGAATCAGCCTTGCAGACACTCAGGTCAGTGCAGAACAAGGGGCAGGAGCTGGTCCATGTGCCAGAGCAGATTCCCATACAGCCCATGGTGTGGCAGCTGTGCCCCTGCAGCCAGTGGAGTTCCATGGTGGAACAGACATCTGTTTCCAGCCCCTGTAGCAAGTCCAAGGGAGGCTGTGACCCCATGGGAAGCCTTTGCTGGAGCAGGCTCTTGGCAGAACTTGTGGCCCCATGGAAATAGGAGCCCATGTTGGAGCAGATTTGTTGGCAGGACCTGTGACCCTATGGGCACCACACTGGAACAGGCTGTGCCTGAGAGTCTGCACAGCATGGAAAAACACCCATCCTGGAGCAGTTTGTGAAGAACTGCAGTCCACTGGCAGGACTCACATTGGAGGAATTTGTGGAGTATTGTCTCCTGTGGCAGGGACCCCACAGTGGAGCAGAGAGCAGCGAAGAGTGAGAGGAACCCTCCCTTCTAGAAGCAAGGAGTAACAGAGGTGATTTGTGATGAACTGACCGCACTCCCCATCCYCTTATGTCACTTGGGAGAGGAAGTTGAGAAAATTGGCAGTGAAGTTAGGCCTGGGAAAGAAGGGAAGGGCAGGGGGAAGACATTTTTAACAKTTAGTTTCTGTTTGTCATTACCCTACTTTACTTTTGGTTGGTAATAAACTAWTTTTTTCCCCAAGTTGAGTCTGTTTTGGCCATGACAGTAACTGATACTACAGATGATCTCTCTATCCTTATCTCGACGCAAGAGTCTTTTGTTTTACTTCCTCTCCCTAATACAGCTGTGAAGGGGAGTCATAGAGTGGCTTTGGTGGGCACCTAATGTTCAGCCAGGGTCAACTTTCTGCAAGAGTAAGAAATAACTTTAGATTAATAGAGACTTTTTTTCGCCCCTTCAGGCAGCAGAGCTTGAAAACTAAGGATTRAACCTAGCTCTAACTGAACTTCCATAGCTGATTCCTACTGTGGTTGGATTTTTTTTTTTTTTAACCCTGGTAGGGAGTGTTTACAAACTCTCTTTAATTTGTGACCAGTTATTTCCTGAGCAGTGTATTTCTCTGTTGAAATCATATGAAGTAAAAATGTGTGTTTTGATAGGTGGGACAGGCTTCATGGAAAGATAGATTTTTTTTTTTTCTTTTTTGCCCTAGGATACAAATTATTTCAAACAGTTGGCTTTTAGTTTTGGTGTCTTTAGACGTCTGTAAAGACCTAGGAAGGCTGTGTGTTTGGGCTACATTACTTCTGTAGAGGCTCATTCCATCCTCTTCTTTCAGCAGCTCAAGAAGCTTTTTTTTTTTTATTTTTCTGTTTTATTTGTTAGGAGGAGTCTTGGTGGAAGCTAAGTGCAGGGTATTCTGTGGACATGAAAAGCTTATGATAAACATCTTTCTGCCTTTTGCTACCTTGTGATCCTGTTGCCCTACAAATGAAATGAAGACCAGTAGTGGCTTCTACTGGTAAATTTCAAAAAAAGCTTTACAAGAGCATTCCAGGTTTTCATAACTACAACAGAACAAGTTTTTCTTGTTTTCCATTGCCAATGTCACTCACTGCTTGTTTATTATATGACATGTAGGTTGTAAATTGCTTAATGTTGAGGTTTTCGTTTTAAAGCAGAATTTTTGTGAAGAGTGTTTGTATTCCTGAATGTTCCTGAGGAGAATAATCTGTTGTCTTTGAATTCTGCAAACCAGGCTAGAAAATACTTCTTAATACTCATAAACTGAAGACATTTGAATTGAGAATTTAGYTCAAGTATTAATCCATGGAATAACTGTCATTTCGACGTGGATTTTTTTTGAATGTGTAAAAATTAAAAAAAAAATTCAATGTTTATGTATGCTTTTTTTTGAAGATGTACTAGTGGCTGTTGCTTATCTATTCTGTGAGCTTTGATAGAGGAAGCCTGAGAATCTCTACATTCAAATTGATATTCTCAACTGTTTTTTACTTGCCTCAGGCTCTACTGCTTTTGTTATAATACGGTGGTTTTTGAAAGTCCACTCCAAACTTCCCTCAGCTACATTTACATTGTATGTACAATCACTTAAAGTACAATTTGCTTGTGGCTGTTGCTGGAGGTCATTACAGAACACATTCTTTTTTTTTTGTCGGGAAGGTTTCACCATTGACTCTGATTGCTTTGTAGATGTGAAAATTATAAACTAGAGGCTCTTGATAAGGTTCTCTGTCCTTGTATGTTGCTTCTGACAAARCTGGAAGATTCATTGGCCTGGGATGCTTTTCATGAGCTGGCAGTATAGGATTCTTTCAGTCTTTCTTTTGTCCTCTTCCAGCAAGACTCAACATTTGTATCTGCTCTTCAATCTTTATTTGATTTCTAAGTGATGGCAGAAGTCAAGTGTGCTTCTTAACCATACAAAAATGTGGAGATGAAATCTAAGTCTTTCCATGATGTAGTTGTGGCTGAGTTGAACATTAAGCACAGGTTATAAATGAATCCTGGTGTTACTGCCTACTAGCTGAGTATCTGCTTTCAGAGTGTTACATTAACTCCTATTGTACAATTTACCCAATTTCATACTCAAGTTGCAGGGGATTTACAAATTGGAGATTCCTTTTTGGGGAGAAACAGATTGGAGAGAAAGATTTTATATCTGTTTAACCTATTCCTAGAAAGGTTTGTGTTGCTTAGGAAAGCTTGTTTTGTTTCCATGGGCTGCTAAACGCATAAATCTGCTTTGTCATCTGTCCCTTCCCACGGAGGTGTTAAGAGGCAGGCTTTTCTTGGACATCACTGTTCCAGTCACTKCGAGCTAAGAGATCCCGACAGCTGTAGGTGCAGCTACCTTACTGTATTTGTGCCAGTATAGTTTCTGTTCTCTCCCTGCTGCTTATCRTGATCTGTGGATAGACAACAGACATAGCTCAATTGCCATGTCTTTTGGGTTTTATTTGATTTATTTTCTTAGGACTCTCCCTAAAATACATTCTTTGCTCCACCCTAGCTATYTTGAGTGTTTAAKTTCTGTATCCTTATTAGAATACTYCTRAGAGGRAAGATAGAAATGCTGCAGAATCATTGTTAGGGCATTCATTTATGTGGATTACTGTCAGCTCTTTGCACCTCTATAAACATGCTTCGTGAKTAGTTTGGTTTGGGGTCACTATATTGCCTTCTAGAATTGCGGGCTTTCTTTGGTTTKGTCCTGAAATATTTCTGGTTTGTTAGTAGTGAACATACTTGCTGCTTCTGTTTTATGTGAATGCTTAAGGAAGAGTAATTGGATTTCTTTGCTTCCACTTGGGGTTTATAATGCAAGTACCATGAATAAAACATCAGGGCTGTCTCTCAACTGTATTACTGAAGCATAACATTATGTTGAAGCCTGAAATCAGTTTTCCTCTTTGCCTGTGGAGGTTAAAAAGCCCAGTAACTCTTGGAGCAGGCACTGGCTTCAGGCCAGGAAACTAGGCATGAAGTGCTGGCTGCAGTGCATATAAGCCTAGTAAAATCTGACTTCTCAAAATGCTTGGCCTCATAAGTGAATCTCAAGTTGGCGAGAAAAGATGACTGCTTGAAATTATGAATTCCTCTAGGTCTAGTATTTTACATGCAGAAAGCATGCCTAGAGGCTCTGCTTTTCTATGTCAGGGATTTGAAAACTTGGAGTGACTTGACAAGAAAGTAAATGAATAATGAGACTGATCAGGTAAGCTGTTGCTGATTGTAGGTAAGCAGGAGAAGCACCAGTGAATTAAATCTGCCGCGTGAAAACAGCACATTTCATGTTTTTATTAATTATATGTGATTGCTATTAATGCATTAGCCTGTGAATGTCATATAAAAGATTTCTCAGCTGACAGATTAAGCCATCTTTCCAAGGTACTTGCAAAAGCCGTTGAGTTCAGAGTATGCATACGTAGTTATGAGGTTTTCAGTGTATAAATGTGCATGAAAGAAAATGCAAACTGTACTCCTTTTTTTCCCCCAATTCTTGTATAATGCATGCAATTTAAATTTCAAGAAATGAACTGACTGCAGATGCAAAATAAGAGCAAAAGGTAAAGGAGTAAGCGAAAATTACTATACAGTTCACTTGCTCGGTTGTTGCATACAGTGACARCATAACAGAAACAAAACTTTCCTGAGTTAAAGACGCTTATTACGCAACAGATTAATATTAGCTTTTTGTTTTGTAAGTACTGGGATTTCCTTGTAACTCCTCCTCTCTATCTTAATAGAGCTTGCATAAAAGTAATATGAAACATATATGTGACAAATATTTTTCTGTTCTTGCTTAATTGTGAAATATTTGCATTTCAGCTCAAATCAAAGACAAAGTTAAAGAAAGGGAAAAGAAGCAAAAAGAAAAGAAGAAGCACAAAATAATGAATGAAATCAAGAAAGAAAATGGAGAGATCAAATTACTACAGAAAGGTAGGTTCAAACAATGTAGTGCTGTTTTCATTCTAGTGCTAAAGGTATTTGTGATTGGATGCTGTGTTTTAGTACCATGTTTTTCTTTTAACTTGCAGCATTTTTCCTGGTTAGTTGTTACAAGAGTTGCAAATTAAAATGTAATTGTAGATGTTAATTTGTTTGCCAGCCGTGCTAGGCACTGGAAATTAAATCTATCACCACAGTGTTGTACATACCATAGTAGGAATAGGAAAGATCAGTACTTCAAGAAACCATGTTAGTGATTTTTCAGTAACTGCTGACAGGATGTAGGTTATTACTTTATATATTGTGGAGAAGAAAAATGAATGCATGTTACATTTGATCTCTTAACATTAATTGTACAAGACTGAGTAATGAAGGAGTTATAATTCAGAACTTGGTAAAATACTAAGCATTGCATGCAACTTGCWGTCTTAATTTTGGCTAATTTCTTCAACTTTGTTCTCTGTAATGGAAGGTAGTCAAGGTCACATTCTCACGTGGTTTGTCCATCCACTGAATCTTAGAATTGTTGAGGCTGGAAGTCCAACTGCTCCAAGTATCATCAACTAGAGCAGGTTGCCCAGGACTATCAGACTGTATCTCCAAGGGTGGAGGCAACAGTCTCTCTGGACAATAGCATTCAGATTATATACATGGAAGATCTTTTTATAACAATGATGGTGAGAGGCTGGAACAGGTTGCCCAGAGAGGTGATAGATACCCCATCCSTGGCAGCATTCAAGGCCAGGTCAAGGACTGGGCTCTGAATAACCAGATCTAATTGAAGATGTTCCAGCTTATTGCAGCAGGTTATACTAGATGGACCCTCAAGGTCTACTCCAACACAAACTATGTGTCTGTTTTGTGATCTTTGAAGAAAGACAGGTTCTGCTGGGACTGATGGTCCTGGAGAGGAGGAGGCTCAAGGGCGATCTCATCAGTGTGTGTAGAAACCTAATGAAAGGGATTGAAGAAGGGCTTCTCAGGTTTATTCCTTCCTGGGGCAGTGTCTTGCCCACCCCTCTGTTAACTTGGGGAGACCCCCAAGTTGGCCCATTTCTACAGCCTCTGGAGGTCCCTCTCATTGGCAGTGCARCTCTGTGATTTATCAACTCCTTCCMGTTTTGGATCAGCTGCAGCTTGCTGAGGGTGTGCTCCATCCCCTGATGCCATTAATGGTGGTGCTGAGCAATATTGACACAGAATATCAAGGTCTGGATGACTCCAGTAGTGACTGTTTCCAGCTGGASTTTTTGCTACTGCTCACAACCCTTTGAGCACAGCAGTTAGGCCAGTACTTGAACCACCTTACTCTTGACTTAGGTCATGCTGTGTCAGGCTTTCTTGTGGGGGTGTTGCTTATTTGAGTAGACCAAATATTTTTTAAATCTGTTACTTCAGACTCTGCTTTTGAGGTTAGGAACAAATTCCTGATAYGTTTTTCTGTTACCTTGTCTGCTGTAGGATTTAATTTACAAACCAGAAACCGAAACCCTCAGATCAAAACATGAACTTCAGAATGTTTGTATGAGGTCAGAGGCACAGAACCTGATAATTACTGCATCATATACTGTGCTCTACACACAAGTAACTGTATTAAAAATGACAGCTTAAAACCTCTGTTGAGCAGAACTCAGGGTATTGCCTTGAACATGAGGATTATGTAAGCTGGTGACTTCCTGTAGAAAGGACAGGTGTGACTTGTCTTTGCTAAGTGTGGAAGGAACTTGGTGGTTGAGATACATGCAACACTTAACTGCCACAACAGGGAGTCTTTCGGCTTTGTTTCAGTAACATCCTTTTTATTCACTGGGTCATGTTTCTTTTGCCATTCAGCAGATGAGATAAATAATTGATATCTAATGGGGCTGTTGAGCTGAAAATGGTGCTTTATTTTCAGGTTGATGTAGAAGTGCCTATACCCAGGGACTCTTAGACTCTTAGGACCTCTGCTGAGAAGCAGGATAGGTTATTTTCACAGTGAACAATGCTACAAGTGCATTAGATGCATTACCCCTATTTCAATTGACTTGCTATTACTCAAGTATGTTTTAGGTTTTCTTTAAGGTGTTGGTGGTTAAGTGTTTTGCAGAGGTAATGTTTGGTTTGGCAGTATCCTGCAAAATGGATTCCTATTTTAGGGAAAAAAGGGAGAGCAGACAGCTATTTAGAGCAGATAGATCATCTCCACAGGATTTGCATCCTGTTCTGAACAGCAGCTTGGTAACTTCTGTGGGCCTCTGAAATCTGACTGGTTGTGTTTGTATGTGCTGTGAGGTTTGTTTAACATTTCCTGAACTGTCCTGCTGATCTGACTTTACATCCTGGGCAAGAGAGAGCAGAGGCAGAAGTGCTTTATGATGCAGCTTCTTGTATGCATCAGTGCTCAGTGTTTCTGCGACCTTTTCCAATATTAACTCTTCGTCTAAGGGTGTCTTCTCTCTGTGTAACAAAAATGAAGCTTCCAGCCCTGTTGTTTTGAGCTCAGGATTTACTGTGTGGGCTTTGGAACAAAGTTTTGGAATGAGTCTGCTTTCTATTTCTTCCCATTTTTGCTTYTGTGGTTGTTTTTTCTATTTTTAGTATGTGTGTTTAGAGACCAACAGTACAATACCTAAAGACAGCTAATTTCCTTCTTCTAGGTATTACATCTCTATCTTGTTGTAAAATGTTTCTCTGACCATCTGTTTGTGACTGACGTTGCTTGAGGGGGTGGAGGTAACAGCSTACGTGACTAAACTGGCTGTCTGAGGTCAAAGGTGACTAGTTATAGAAGAAGTCAGTACTGAGGGACTGATATCTTTCGAGGGAGAGCTGGTGCATAAACCTAATTTTAGTGCTCTGAGCTGAATGTGGAAGAGTTTATTTATACTGGAAGGCTCAGGGTTATGAGCTGTTCGTCTGCCTAAACTTGGGTTGGCGTTCTGTTGAAAGCAGTGATAAAGCTTGCCCATGCCGGAGAAGGGCGATTCTTAAAAAGGATGTTTCTGCTGTTCTTGAGGCTGCTAAAGGAAATGAGGCTCTTTCAGRGAGCCTGATGGCTTTTCTTATGACCGTAGAATGAAAGATGTTTTGCATTTTAAGATGTATTCTCTGTAGATAAGGCTATAGAATTGCCTCTATATCTCTCTTGCTGTGTGGAAGGAAGAGCTCAGTTTTCAGACAAAAGCTGTTTGGCACATGTATACTGTTAAAAATTCAGAAACCATAARTAATTTAAACTTATTTTTCAAAAAAGTCTGCATTGTAAGTAGTTACCTTCTAGAAATTGAGTGTTTCATGCAAAAAATTTGCACCAGTGTGATGTGATGTGATGAAATGACTGGAGGTCTTTTAAAAAGGAAAATGATTAATAGGCTCATTTGTAAACAGTCCTATTTCTGTTTTTCATTTTAGAAAAAAAACAGTCAGTCTTGTTTTTCTGATTATTTATATCTGAGCACAGCAACTGCTAAAAATGCAGTAGGAAAAATTCTTAGTATGTGTTTCTGCAAGATTCAATGCCTTGGTTTATTGAATGCTAAAATGCAGCAAAGAACTGAAAATGAGCGTTTTATTTTGCTAGTATGAACATATGTAAGTACAAATTGTTTTCTAAAGCTTTTTTTTATTCTGACATGACATTTATTTGTGCGTTCTTATGAACCTTTCAAATTTTTTATAGATGAGTTTTTCATGTTAGTAATTATAAAATCAGTTGAACATGAGACCTGAGTCTTATGCATGCTTTTTCCTGTCCAGTGTATTTTGTCCGTGTATCTTTATGCAAAATGTTCAAGCATTTGTATGCAATGCACTATAGTTGAGGGAATGAAAAAGACTGAGATAGGAGTGCAAGGCAAACAACCCAGAACACTGATTTGTCTGTGATACTGATGTTGCTTCGCAGTCCTTATGCATCAAGTCCCTAACTTTTAAGAATAAAATATATAAGTAGAAGGTAAAACACAGATATCAAATGGGATGGAGCAAGTGGCAACTGGAGGGAGAGCTTTGCTGTAAAGTTTCAAAGTGTTTTTTGCTGGAGCTGGGATTCTGGAGCTTGAAGCCAAGACTTCTCATCAGTGAAAATGAAAGTGTTAAATTTTGGTGACTGGGCTCTTCTTAAGTGAGGATGAAAACTAATTTTAATTACTGGCTGCTGTTGAACCTGTGCCTTCCTGCTACTAGCTAGAAAACTGTGGGAGRCAAACAGTTCAGTGTTACTAATTTTTGGCTTTTGTTTTGAAATGTCTGGAGTCCTCCTGTAATAGCTTTTGGCTGTGACCTCAAAGTTCGGAAGCAACTGCTTTGGTTGAAGTAACTGAACAAAGTATTTTACTTCGTGGCTTCTGCTTATTTAAAATTTCATATAAATTAATCAAACACAATAAATGGACAAAACACAAGATATAATAAACTTCAGGTAACATCTGACTKCTTCCAGAAACTTATACTTGGAAGRTGTCTGTAATTAACCAGAGTTCAGGCTGTGTAGCATCAGTTTCAATTACAATGAAATTGTATGTGTCGTCTTGTAATAACAGAGCACTGGAGTCTCAGTCCTTAGTAGTATGTCCCATGTCACTTACAGTGACAGGGATATTGTCACAAAAAATCAAGTGTCCTGAGTTATCTTGAATGATCTACCATTCCTATAGATACGTGCATGTGAGAATTATTTCTCTCCTTGTGGTACCTAAGGCTTGATGTGCCTAGATGGTTCTAAGTTGTTTGCCTGTGTTTCTGATACTGCTGAGTATGTGCATGCATGAACAGAATGAACGTAACTTTCATTCTTCTAATTTCTTTAATGATAGATACAGTGAAAGTTTTGTAACTGTCCTTGTGCAGATGCTGCTAGTCAAATAAGACCAGAAATCGTTCTTTAGTTTTTTTTGAAGTCCAGTAAAGTGTGAGCTCAGTCTGCTTTTTAACATCAGATCAAAGGGAAAAGTTCCTGTAAATGTGGATGCTGAGGGTTTTTCTACCCACCCCCTGTCTCTGTTCTCATT